CATTTTTTAAATTGTATTAGCTGACTCCATGATATTTTTCTGTTGTTACATATCCAAAGAGACAATTGATCCTTGCTCTACTGGCTAAGAATATGCCAATACTGAATTAAATCACTACTAAAATTTTTGGATCTGTCTATCCCAAATGGGTGAAGTTAATTCTCAGCCTGGTTCAGACCATACATGTTTACATCAACCGGTACCTCCGCCTCTGTCTACAATTATCTTAGCCACTGAATCCACTCCAAACACTCAGCTATGATGTTTTAAATAGCAGTACACTTTTCTATATCTGCAATCAAATAAACTAGAAATGCTAATATGCACATCTTTGAGTAGAATGAGTAATAATTGGTATTTTATTTTATCTTTATTATCTCTTTCAAGTTGTTCTGAGACCCTCTGAGGAACAGAAATTCACAATGAAATTTACTTCTAAACACTTTGGACACACTTTACAAATTACTTTGTCTATCTTGCTTACAAACTATTTTTGAAGGCTAGTACTATATGCTGTACAGCATTTCATCTTCAGCTTCTCAGCACCAATTCTGGTTCATATTAAATACTCAGAAAATATTTAATCAGTGGATAAACACTGAGGAGAATATATATATATATGTAATTTATATATATTAATATATTATTTATATATATATTATTTTTCTCAAGGTAGTTGTTTTAGAGGATAAGGCTATGTTCAGTGGTTAAGATCAAGTGTTGCTTTTAAAGAGGACTGAAATTTGATTCCCAGCACTCAAATGGTGGTTCACAACCATCCCTAACTCCTTTTCCAGGGGATACAACAATCTCTTCTGACTTCCATGACCACCAGGCACACCATTGGTGCAGACATATGTGGGCAAAATTTTGAAGCACATAAAATAAATTTAGTAAAGAAATTTTTAGATCTATCTGGAACTGATTTATAGAATTTCCTTGTTTAGTAACACCTGGAATTGTTTAATTCTTTCACTTATACTATCTTATATTTCTATCAAGAATCCTAGGCAAATGGAAAGTTAGAAAAGTATACCTTTTAGCACCTCTGAAGACTACCACAGACTTTCTCTTTATTTCTTTAAAATAAATGGCTCTAAAGATCCAACTAGACTACAGCCAACAAGAGTACAGACCTTTCCAACTGAGAAAGAACATTTAAATAAGAAACCTTGAAATTTAAGTGAAGTTTTTAGGTGGAATTAGATACATGTATTTATTTCCTAAATACTATACTCAATAAAAACAAGCTTTTCTAGGAGATCACATTTAGTAAGGGAGAGGATGCTACCTAATGCTACTAAAGTTTGGTATCTCAGTTTAGATTTGGGATGTTCCATGTTCAATACAGAAATCATTGTAATTTATTTTGTATTGACATAGATTGTCCTACCTAGATAGTTATTTGCATCATTTTAGGTATTAGAAATCCAAATTAACACAAAACAACTTATAAAATGTTTAATAATCCATTCTTCAGTGAGGTGTGGTGGTGTGAACTTATAAACCCAACACCCAAAAGGCAGAGAGGATAGAGCTGGCAGCCAGTCTTAGCTATATGGTGAGGATCTATCTCAAAACAACAAAATAAAAAAGTATTAAAAATTTGTGAGACAAATCAGAAAATTAATTTATATTAGTGTGACTCTTGCTCATATCTGTAAAAACCAAGGCACTTACTTGGTTCAATATCTTTCACTCATCATCTAATACATATATTATTCATAGCAAATTGTGACTAGAGAACTAACGTTTCTTTTTTCTAAATTTTTAAAATTATTTTTCTATCGGCTATTTTATTTATTTACATTTCAAATGTTTTTTCCCTTTCTGGTTTCCTCTTCACAAATCCCCTATTCTGTTCCTCTACTTCTATGAGTGTGTTTTCCTATCCACCCATCCATTCCTGCCTCACTACCATTGCATTCTCCTATGCTGGGGAAATTGAGCTCTACAGGACCAAGGACCTCCCCTCTTATTGATGCCAGGTAAGGCAATCAATCCTCTGTTACATATACAGCTAGAGCCATGGGTCCCTCCATGTGTACTCTTCAGTAGGTGGTTTAGTCCCTGGGAGCTCTGGGGGATCTGGTTGATTGATATTGTTGTTCTTCCTATGAGGTTGCAAACCCTTCATCTCCTTCACAACTGACATTTCTATGGACTTAACTATAATATTTCTTAAGTAAGAACAGTATTTGATCAGCATGTTGGTTCTCATTTTGGATATTAATATCCAGAGGTGTAACATTAGATTTTGTTCCATAAAGCTATCAAGGAACCATCTAAACAAATAGTTCAGATGTAGGATTCTCTACATTTATACGATTGTTTATGAGACACCCTGATATGTGACCAGAACGACTACCAAGAATTTATTTCCAAATATTCTGTATCTATTATAAAGAAATCACAGTTAAAGACTGGCCATAGTTGGTAGCATGCTTGCTGAGTGTGTTTGAAGCTCTAGGTTCAAACCCCAGCACCACAAAGCTGTTTGATGTCAGCTTGGGCTTCCTGAGGTAGGAGGCAGGAAAGCAGGAAGATAGAAAGGCAGGAAGGAAGATGGACAGGTGGGCAGGCAGATATAAATCCTAGTTAGAAAAAAACATAGCATGAATCTCTTGATCTGGGGAACCCTCTATCTTTGCATATGTAAATTTTCTAATTCAGTTCTCTAGTAATATACAACTGATGCTCTAACCCCATTAAGGATATAGCTCACTGCTCAATAAATATTAGTACATGCAATATTTTACTGAATTGAGAATGACAATTGAAAAGTGAAAAGAATGATGCAATCATTTTTTCCTGATAAACATCTTTGGATAAATGTGGTATAAAATATCTAAGAAGGACCCTGCAGCAGGAAATCCAATTAAACAATTTTCTTTAAATGAATCTATAATATGTAATAAGAAATCTGTGGCAATAAATCAACTTAATTATCTTACAGTTCTATAGATCTAAGGAAATCCACTTTTGCCGTTTTGGGGGATATGCTATTTTAATAAACTTTTATCTTGTATTTATAAAATATGCATTTTCCAATTTGCCTTAATAATAATGATGGGACTGCTCATTAAAAGTAGTTACAGCATTCTACCTTCTACTCTCATATAGAGAAATGGCAAACAATAACTATCTTAAATTCCACAAATAGTTCCATTCTCTTTCATTGCACTGTCCTGTTTGTAGTTTCTATCAATGTTTAGTAAACTGAATTTCCAGATGTTGCTATTTTTAGTCTTTAGTATCATTTCTTACTTTCACGACAAGAATGGATACTATATTTCTTAAAATGTGGACTGAAACTGCCTATCATACTTCACAGTCCTGAAATTCACTGTGTAATAGTTAAACAGAACCTTTCTCTTTTTTAAGTGTCATAAGGAGTTAATAGGACACAGCTGTACTAGCTCTTTCTAATAAGCAGCTTCTGTCGCTTTGGTCACCACAGGTGTCTCTGTAACCTGCAAACTCTTATTACTAGTGTATCAAAGTTGTGCTACTCAACAGACTTCTTTAGTAAAACATAACAAAGCAATTACATGGCTGTTGATTGCTAGTCATAAAAAAAACCGTCAAACACTGTTTTTCAAAAGAATCTACACTGCTATTTTTTTGTCATTGTAAAATAAAAGGAACTAAGGAATTAAATGGAGGATAGAACAAAATGACAGCAGGTAGCCAGCTGAACTTAGCCACTACAGATGGTTCAGAAATAGTGTTTCCTTCTCCACCGAGCTGTGGATAAAAGAAAAGGAGGAGAGTCCTGACTGCCAGTGAATGGCAAAAGATTTAGCCAAGTCCTTGGTCTACATATTTTGCCTCATGAAAGACCTTCGATGCTGCATTTTTATCTGTTTTTGGCACTGCTTTTCATCACCTTTAACTGAGTGTGAGTAATAACCTGATTTAATTTAAACAAATACAGGTGCTAAAGGTTCTTTATTTATGTATAACAGGGAACATTTCCAAGGCAGAATCGAGTCATCCTAGAAAATTTCCTAACCATTTGCTTAAAGAAATGAAGTATTAGATGAAAAAAATTGTTCCACTACTCTTTTGCCTCATGGTTAACGGAAGAATCTTTTCAGATTCAGATGATATAAAATTAAGTCTGAATAATGATCCAAACTCCAGTCAGCCATAAAATAATAAAAAGACAAATCAAATGTTTTCTAATTGTTCTATAATTGCTCGTTAAGGAACTATGATAGGGCTGCTTTGAAGTGAATTAATTTAATCTTTCTCCCTGTTTAGAAGTCTGTGATTATGACTGTTAACACACCAAAAGTAGCATGATGGGATGTTATGACCACAGTGTAATTAAACATGATAAAAAATATTTCAGAAAAAATACTGGGAGGCAGATTATGAAGAATTACTTACCACAGATATTATGATCAGCAAACTAAGTTTTATGCTGACAACTAGAAAAGGCTTTTTTCCCTCCTATGGAGAATATGGATGCCCTGCTGGCTGTGTGCTAAAGAATGTGTGCAATAAAGCGATTAGATCAATTAGCATATGCTAGAGTAACGCTATTACCAACTCCACTGGAGTAGTCCAGGATGGTCTGCCTTCTTCACTGATGTTATTTTAAAAAACAAAAAACAAACAAACAAAAAAAACCCCAAAACTTATTACTAGAATTACTATTAGATTTGCTTTGCATTTTTTATGAACATAATAAAAACACAGATTTTCTTTAAATAATCAACAACTTACTAGAAATGTACTCTGCCTTGGTGTAGATTAAAAGACAAAAATACTTTTTTTCCGTGTTATTTTTTTAATTTAAGAAAGGTTTTATAAAATATATTTTCATATTTATAATAGCTGTATGTGTTAGCTGTAATGGGTTTTTTTCTACTGAAGTATAATGGAAGAACATTTAATGGTGAGGCTGGACAACATTCATAATGATGACAGGGAGAAGTCAAATGCAGGACTTTTTTTAATAGAAACTTACAACTTTCGAATAACAGTATTACCTTGCTCTGTTGGCATCCTTTGTCAGATCCCAAGCCCAGGTTATAAAATTTTGACTCAGATAAGAAACAATGGATTCAGCACAAAGCATTTGTGAGCAGAACACGTTGGTTAGTACACTTTCATCATGGTGGAGGTAGATAGCAAGAAGCTTTCTCTGAAAAGAGGAGAAAAGACCAATCAATTAAAATATCCACTAAAATAAGACTTCTAGAATACAAGAGAGGTTCAATCAGAGTCTATGAACAGCAAAGACAATTTAAATGCTACTCTCTAAAAGCACACCTTATCTTCAGGGTTCCCAGAGCACTGCTACTCTTAATATATTTTATGTCCTTATACTCTAAAGAGGTTAGGATACTCGAATATAGTTTCAGAGACCTTACATTTCTATTAACATGTGGGAGCCTAATTTGAGCAGAATTGCTACAGAACTTCACTTTATATAAATAAAATATTTTTAACAGTCTTCATATTTAATGCATACTGTATTAACTCTAAACTATTCACTAAGACAGCAAAATTCCTGAAAAGTGTGTTCTACTTGGAAAAAGTCTAAAATGAACTTTTTAAATTTTAATTCAACAATTTGAAACTTAACATGTGTGTACATTAAAGAGTGTGTACCACTTAACTGCCACTTTGAAAAAAAAAAAAAGACAGAAAAACATTTAGTCTACAAGAATGACACCGGCTTTCTTAAATGTCTCCTGTCATAGTTAGACAGTCCATAAAATAGCCTAAAAAGCAAAATTAAACGAGATAATTTGCAGTGTCTTAAGTGTTACAATGACAACAAAGAAAGCATGAAAGTATTTGTTCACTTTTTAGTGCTGAGTCTAAGAACAGACACAGATATCAGAAAAAATAAAGATAAAAATTTGTGGCAGGGAATACATATAATAAGGATACAAACTTCTTTATGAAATCCTACCAAAGAAAGATTTTAAAGAAGTGGGAGATCTTTCTTTTCATATTACATGAGGGTGTAATAATAGTAAATGAAAACGTGCGGTGTGGGATTTTCAACAAAAGAAAGTGTCTAAACAGAAGGGTCAGACTGGTGAAAGGCTAACAAAGTCTGATGCTTAGAACAATACTGATTAAGAAATTAGATTAAAAAATAATACAAACGTAATCATGAAAATTCTTTCTTCAAAGTACAATTTTTATTAGATGAGAATAAGATAGGCAGGAAAATTTTGTAAAATCATCTATTATAAACAGGATACACTAATTTTACAATTATTATTTACATAAATCTCCAGAGTGTATCTGTTAAGCAGATACTCATATCATTAGCATATGAGGAAATTCAAGTTTAGAAATGACTTATCCCATCTTCCAGTGAAGTCAGTAAGAAATTCAGCTAGAATTAGCACCTAGATTGTCTGAGTCCGGGTTTGGCACTCTTTCTGTTACTAGAGTAGTCACATGGAAATTGGACACTCTGTAATCAGAGGCATGTGGAGTACTCATGTAAAACAGAGGCAGAATTCACATGACATAGTGAGCAGGGCCTCAGAGACAGCATGTAATTGGAATAAGGATAGGATGCCTGGCTATAAATAGCTCAGCTGATCCCACCATGATTCTAGGTGTTAATTCACTTATTCTTTCATTCAATAAGCATTTGTTGAAATTCCCATTGTGTCAGACCCAGTAGGACACACAGGCAATAAAATGATGAACGGAACAGACTAAGGAATTCTTCACCTTTGATAAGGACTACAGATAACAGTAACAGGTCTTCTAGGAAGTTTGTAATCAGACACATTGTTGGAGAGATACTTATCTGGCAAATTCCACTCATCCTTAAAGGCTCAAGGCAAATGCTTCTATGAACTCCCCTTAATTCCCTTAGTCAGAGTTAAGAGCTTCCTTTTCTGGCTGGCTTCTAGCTCTCCCCATTAGTACTATAACTGTTTACAAGCTTCCCCTCTAGATAAAGTCTCTCAAGGGCCAGGACTGGGTCTCTCAGTCTTCTTTGGATCTTTCAACTAGCATAGGTCCTAGCCTGTTACAGGAAATAAACTCCAATACTGATCTTAACCACAGCCCCCTGGAAAAAAAGACACCAAATGTCAGAGATAAATGCTAAATCTGTTTTTTATTAAGTGAATCAAGACTCTTTGGCTTCCGAGAAAGAAACGTGAACCTGGCTGCACTAACAAATTCAGGGCTCCTCTTTTTAGCTTTCTAGCTGAGTAGACAGAGGGATGTCAACCTCTAATTCGTCTAGATCGTATCTCAGCAACTACATTTAACGAGAGTGGGAACAAGAGAGCTGTCCGGTTTTAAATCAGCAGATTTTTAATCAAACAATAGCAATAGCTAAATCGTTAAAATGCTTACTTTTCTTGAGAACATTGCAAAGGAACATTTAGACTTTGGGAAAGAGATTAGTGATTTGCATCGATATCTCACTGATTTAATTTAAATGCTCTCCCAAACCAAACACATATGTGCCCAGGAGGTTACTAAGACACCCAACATGCAGAGTTCCCTATAAGTGCAGCTGATAGTGCAGCTGATAGTGTTGACTGAAACTAAACTTGGAAATCCAGGGTGCTAATGCACAATATCAAGCAATAAAAAAAGCATCTCTTTGGCAATATTTAATTTTAAAAAGAAGAAAGAGGCAGGAGGAGACCAGGCACTGTCTGTTTTGGAGGATCAGGCACTCTGCATTTCAAAGCATGGGTCCCTGCAATATCCAGGTTACTGTGCTAGAATCTCGACTATTCTATCGCATTTGTGAGAGGGAGGGCAAAGATGTGTTTACTCAGTGATTAGGCCCTTAGAATAAGCCTCCAGCTCCTAGAGAGACAGCTCACCACTTATTCATTTGGGCCAATTCACAAAGCCGAGGAAGATTAAACATCCATGCTGAGAAGACAAGCGAATGCAGACGGTGAAAAAGAAATAAAAATTCTTTAAAAACTCTGAGATGACTTCATTATTTTTCCACAAGGAAACTTTAGGAAAGTGTTTAGTTAGAGAAAAACCCACATTGACCTCTCTGTAAACCCTTAATCTTGCCTTTGTGGAGCCAATGCTTTGTGGAAAGCGACTGGCTCACTGCGCTCCTCTTTTCACTGGAAGCTGGAAGAAAAAAGGCTCTGGAGAAACAGTTTTCCTTCCAGGGACACAAACCCCTGACACTGTTAAACATGAGATGCCAGGAATACACACTTAAAACTTCTCACTTTAAGTCCTAAGTGGAACGTGAGAAAGATGATGAAAGGAGTATCCAAATAGAATCTTCAGGCCAGGGCACTCCCAGAACAGCTTTCAAAGAGGAAACTGAATATTCTTAGTCTTGCTTTTCTTACATAAATTTCCAATACTAATGATTTTCCCCCCTTTGCTACAATGACAGTAAATAAGCAGAACACACTCTTAATTTGGGATATAAAAATCAGATTAAATTATAGGCAAAGATAAAATCCAGGCTCAGACTTCTGATTCTTCTACTAAGCTCAATTAAGCATAGACCCAAACAGACAGAACTGAGTTTAGCAAATCAATTTAGTAGAGAAGAAACTACAAAGTAATCAAAAATCTACGTTCATAAAGAAAGAGCATCTGGCATACACAAAAAGCCCAAGGAAAAGTTTTGTTCTTTCATTACTATAACTTGTTTTTTCTTTTGTCCATTCATAATTAAGTCCATTGACATTTATGAAGTGCCATAAAAGACATTGAGAACATAAAGTTCGAATCACAAAATTCCCTTGCCTTATAGAACTGGGGAAGAAGAAGAGCTATGAGTGAGATAAATGTGCAATCATCATACTATATAACAAATGATAATATTCAATAAGCGAAAAGACTTTTCCCCTCCTTTTTAGCTTGGCAGAGAAGAGAGAAGTCTGGTAGCCCAAAAAGCAAACCACACAGACTTACGTAACTCTGACAGCTGCTTTGTGGTCTAAGTTTTGGTAACACTGTAAGGAAGTCTTCCAGGCTTAAAACAATAGAACAACCTGGTCTAATCCCAGTTCTGTCACCTACAACACATGAGGCAAGACAAACTGGGAAGATTTTAGATAAAGTACATTACATGCTTATTTACTGTACTAAGCCTGTAATGGCTACTAGATATAAAAGTACTATTAAGATAAATATTCCAGAACTATCCATGCAACACTGGAAAGCAATTCCTAGAAAAATGAGAGCCATGAAAATAGTCTGTATTTTAAGCAGCTCTCTGAATTTTTCCATCTGGCAACAGAGACTGGGATGGTAACTATGCCTTCAGTGTAGAAGCACCATCAAATCTAGAAGCTAAGATATTAGGCTGATGCTCAGAAATGGCTGACCAATGGACTTGACTTTGGGCTACAGTGTTAACACATAATGTTACAGAACTGTAGAACGTTAGAATGAAAAGAAAAAGGCTAGTTATGTGGTTCAGCTGGTAGATTGACAGCTTCCCATGTCTGATGCCCGGAGTTCAATCCTGACCACTGCATAAACCAAGTATGGTTGTCTATAATCCAAGCACTTAGGAACAGAGACAACTGGATCAGGAGTCACAAGTCAAGATGATTCTTAACCACATATCAAATGCAGGCAAGCCCTGAAAAAAAAAAGAGAAAAAGGGAGGAAGGAGGAGGGAGGGAGGGAGGGAAGAAGGGAAGGAAGGGAGAAAGGAGGGAAGGAAGAAGGAGAGGGGAGGGGAATATGCTAAAGGACTACTTGAAATGCTTGTTTTCAAGTACCATGACATGATCTGTGTTCTTTTAGTGATTTTAATGTTGGTATGACAAATAATTTGGAAAAATATTGACTGATTTTTTTCCAGTATAAGGAGATTGAGTGTTAAATAATTTCCATTATTGAACGTGGTATCTGCTGAATTACTATTAATACTCTTGTGGAATGGTTTAAATTGATGAGTAATTTATTGATACAAACACTTGATAGAATAAAATATCTCCTTATATCTTCATTACACCAAATAATTTAATACTGATACAATAATATCTAAAATAGATTAATATCTAAAATAGAACACATATGCAAATTTTCTCAATTGTTTCCAAAAATGTTCATTTGCAGCTGCCTTATTTTAGTTCTTTGCTTTTTAATTACTTAACTTATCTCATTACTTTGTGCATGTGTGTACCAGGTGCATATGTCCCATATCCT